CCGATCCGCGATCCAGCCTACTTACAAATTACAATCGACATCAGTATTCTCGACACCAGAGCCTAGAACAGCAAGTAAATTTCCCAAAAACATCTTTAAATAATTTTTAATTGTATAAATACGATAAACCCGAAACCGGTACTAACCTGCAACTTTACTGGCATATGTTGTTTCCGCCGAGAAACTGAGGGAGAGGAGGAGGCAAGGAGCGAGAAAGGGGGGGGGGGGGGGGGGGGCACTGGGAAGTCTGAACGTCGAGCTTTGGTTGGAAAGTTCAGTGGGTAGTCCTAGCTGGCAGGCCTTTGCCTCCACTGGAACACCGGTGTCCAGCGTTTGGCTTTTGCACGTGAATGCGTTGGACGACTGCAGTGGAGACAAGGGCATGCCTTCGTCTCCACTGCACTCGTCGAATGCGTTAGGACGCCAGCGTCCGGCGTTTGGCTCTCGCATTCGAACGGCGGTTTCCCCGCTAATCCTTCCAATCAGAGCTCGTCGTCCTGACGTCCCCGCGCGGTCTCTTCTCCTCCTCTCCCTTGGTTTCTCGGCGCATAAAAATCAGCACATAGGCAGCTTGAGCCTAGTTTCGTCCAGCGTCAGAAGGAGTCAAAAGGCCGTCGCGATCGTCCGTTGGAAATAAGGGACTACGATTTGTCAAGTTTGTCGGAGTCAAGCAATGACCAGCAAATGTACGATTTTCAGCACGAGATTTCAGACGATTCACAATTCGCATTTAATCCGCCAGCATTACCTCCGAGGGGGCCACCCGTGGCGGCTGCATTCGCGATCCGACCACATCTGAACCTATAGAGGCCGCTTCAGAAGTAGAGTGGTATGGAAGGTTTTGTTTGCTACCACCGTGCGAACTGTCGACGCGAACGCAAGAAGCCAGTGTTCGCGTCGGATTGCTCGGACCTATTTCCGTCGCAAAGTCTCCTGTGTCGAAAACCGATGAGATGTCACCCTGCTGCATTTCTTCGTGGAGTTATTGCATCCCACTGCAGATCACTAAGTACAAAACGAGCGTGTTAATCACCAACTCTCCCCACAGACTCCACCGCATGCATGCCACAGACGCTCACTGTTACTACAACGCACAAGCTATCCCCCTTGACAACGCACAACTACAGTGTACTAGAATACTTGGGTAGCGTTGGGACCGGAGCGGCTCGGCAACGGGAGCTCGTGAGGGCGCGTGTATTGACACTTCGTGGCGGCGCTGTAGTCGAGTTATCCGTAGAGTGCCTTCATACACACGCGCGCTTTTGCTTGAGTGGTGACATCTCAGCCATTTTTCGGCCCACTCGTTTTTTTATGCATCTTGAAGTGCGCGCAATCCGGTGTCACTCAGCTCGAGCGCGTAGCTTTGGCTAATGCATAGACGCCATTTTACCGCCCAAGTAACGCACCTAGTGCGCGAGAGCGTCATGCGCTGGCACATTCAGGCCAACAATGGATGTCTTCACCCTGAGACAGACAGACATGTAGGCACCCTAGTTATCCGGAAAAAATCGCGCAGCCCGCCTTTTTTCTTTTTTTCACTTTGAGCGGTGCACGTGTCGGTACCACGATTTTATTTGTACCGCAGCGAAGGCTAGAAGCGCAAGCTCATAGCGTTGGCAGCTGCCCTTGGTGCACGAGAGCTTGTGCCGCCGAGATGTGCCCTAGAGCAAGGAGCTCGCGCTTGTAGCCTTTCCTGCATTACGACTAGGGTTTGCATTTTCCGGTTTTAACCGAAAAACACCGATAAACATCCGTCGGTGACGAAAATATAAAATCGGTTAAAACCGAAAAACACCGGTGGTTGGATATTTTCGCCCTGGTTAAAACCGAAAAACACCGGTCGTTGCTAGTTTCCGACCTAGCGAAACCCTTTCCCTGTAGAGGTTCGTCAAACGTGTTATCTCGTGGATCCTGCATTCTTCCAGTGTTTATACATGGCTTGCAGGTGGCGTCGGTCCGCCCTCCTTTCTGGGGGTCAAAAGCGTCTAGTGAACGCAGTGGACGCTAAGCTCTCATACGCCTTTCCCCTATTGTGTCTCCGATAGCCCCCTTTAGTGGAAAAATTAACACAGTGGAGGGTAGGCTCTCACGTGCCTTTTCCTCATTGTGTCTGGCCAAGTGATGTCGGTGCAAGCCATGTATTCAGAGGTTGCTGTGGTTCCTGGAAGACACTGCCAACGTCCGTGTCGTACAGGAGCGTGCGTTTTCATAATTGCGGGTTGCGAACCGCAAGGGACGTGGTGCCATGAAGGCAGCACGTTCCTTGGGTGTAGATGCAAGCATAAAAGTATGCTTGCATCTACTATAATAACCAAGTGTTAGAAATAGTTGCTTTCTAGAGAAGAAGTGTATGAACTATGTGAATAAAATTGGAACTCTCTTTCTGTGATCAATCGCTTTTTTTTCACCGATATTCACCGATTTTAGCCTCGTCGTGAGACGTTCCACTGAAATACACCGGTGTTTTGAAAATAAACACCGAAAAACATCCGCCGATTTTTCTCACAAATAAACACCGGAAAGTACACACCCTAATTACGACACAAAGTAAAACAGACGTGTTTTTTTGTTTTTTTTTTTTTTTTTTTTTATAGTTTCGTGTGTTTTTCATTTCGAGCGGTGCGCGTGTCGGGACCACGATTTCATAGTTTCGTGTGTTCGATCGCAATATGCTTTAAATCTTGTGTTCTGATTTTGCGGATGGTGAACGCGTAAGGGTAGTGCCGAAATGTTGTCGGCGAGTCAGCGACAGAACTTTTTCTCTGCACCTGGTTGCAAAACGGGCCTCATCCGAGTGAAAGGAGTGAAAACGGCGTCCCTTTTCGACGTTCCAAAGGACAGAGCCAAAAGAGATCTTTGGGAGAAGAATCTGCAGCGATCGGACAAGCGTCTTGAAGAAACAAGCGCTGTCTGCGAGCTACCGCCGAATTCAGAAACCTCACTCAAACTGAAGGGCCCCTCCAATTCCTCGAGGAAGGCGCGAGGGCCGGCGCTAGCCAATCGCGAGGACGGATCCGTAATAATTGGGTTGTGGGGATATTTATACAGCGTGTAGTTGGTCAGCCATTTAAAGTTGCGACGAGTCACACGCTGTAGATGAGCAATTTAGCCAGTGCAGTACAACTGCTAGCCTGGGGTCTTTAACGTGCACCACGCAGTAGTGATACACGACCGCACGCCGGTACGATGCTCATCCAGATCGAAACGGGCAAGGGTGGGGCTCGAACCCAGGATCCCTGGGTCCTGCAGCGCGAGCTTTCGCTCCACGCGCGTCGAGCTGGGTGTGCGCTTTAGCCCACTCGGCCACCGATCCCCCCTAGGACGGATCCGTCGTCGCGATTGGGCAGCGCCGGCCCTCGCGCCTTCCTCGAGGAAGTATAAGGGGCCCTTCAGTTTGAGTGTAGTTTGAGTGAGGTTTCTGAATTCGGCGGTACGTCCACATCATCGGCGGAGAGGAAGTGAGGATCCCTCATGGACACCCAGCGCTTACGCCAGACGCGGTACCGACTCTACTGCCAAGTGTACCCCAGGACCTGAGTGATGAGCAGCTGTCGGTTATATGTATTGTTATGAGCGTGTGGGTTTCAGATGGTTTACCCTCAAGAGGATAATGCGCTGCATATTGTAACAATGTATGCGTTGCACATTGTAACCATTATTTCAATGGCGTTCTTTAAACTATTACAACTTTTTCCTTGCCTTATCTACGTGTGCTCATGTTTCCTGCTCAAAATGATGTGAAATAGTTGCTTGTTTTCTTTGAATTTTATAAAGCATTACTTGTTCAGCCCACGTTGTCTCAGTTTTTGGACTTAAGTTCAATGTTAAAACGCGTGATAAAAATTGTCACGGCTTATAAGCCATTTCTTACAAGTGAATGTCGGGTGGTCCTTGAATGGTCGTGGCAGCCATGAAGAAATAAAAGATTCTCACCCCTTTGCGACCGTCGCTTGGGTGGTTCGTCGCATAAATGAACGCAAGAATGAGTGACAAGTGAAGAGAGCTGATTGAGGTCAAGAAAAGGAAGACGGGCAGAAAAGAAGACAGAGAAGTTAACCTGGGGTATTAAAAACATACTAAAACAATCTCGGACTTTAGTATGTGCCGTTTCGTTCCATTATAAAACAAGATATATATATTTAAAAAAAAAAAAAAATTCTTTTGAGTTTTAGATATCACTTTCAAATATCGAATGTTCGCCCTTTGCAACCAAGGAAATCAGCATTTCATTAAAAAGGCTCACCATCCGACAAACCGAATGTCGCAGCTAATTCTACGTTGAAACAGCTTGCAATCCGCTTCTTTAAGGTCGCAATTGTTTTTATTTAAAGGAAGGGTAATGTAGCTTGTACCGTCCAATACATTGAAGCATCATGTTGCTAACGATCGTGCCGCAGCGTAATTAATGCCGCTGTACGACTGCTGGCAGGTCGTAGCTGTATCAGAAATCCTATGTGCACTCCACCAAAGCGGCACCAAAGATTCATATTTTCGCGCGTGCAGCCGCGCATGCGCACACCTTCTGGATAACGCGCCGGTGTCGACACCTGTCGCGATCAATACCACGCGCTTCAGGCGAGCCTCTCCGGTCCCAACATTACCCAAGTATTCTAGTACACTGTAGCACAACGTTGTGGAAGACGGAGCGTCGTCTGCTCTCAGATACATTTGTCGTCACAAGCGCCCCTACTCGATACATCTGTCGTCAGACTCGTCATACGCACCCCTACTCGAAGCGGCAGCGGCCAGGAAATTACCCGGGCGTACTCAAACGTTCCTTACTACGCTACTGGTGCCCCCACCCCACTGAGTAAAAATAAAATATCAGTATTAGTACCCCCATGACGACAGATAGTACAGTTGCATCAAATAGCTGTACGACCGCAGAGCTCCGAATTCACTGAATTGGTACCATTGGTACCCAGCCTAGATGGCGCATGTTACCGCCTCAATCAGGGTTAAGAAATTTGCGTTGTAGTTGCGTTGCTCTTGTCGCGTGGTGGTCACTGGTCTCACCGTCTCCGACGCTTGCAAGCTAGTGCTCGATGGAATGTTAGCCGATCACTTAAAATCATGTGCTTAGAACTCGATTAAGTCGCACTTCGTGTTCTAATCAAGTTCGCTGCGAGAATGTCGAAAAGCGTACAGAGTATGGTTACGAGTATAGAGAACTTGTTGCCCGTAAAAAACGGAGATATGAGGTAGGTTGGGTTCACTCCTTTCTTGGTTTCTTGACCGATCTGTAGTGCTTGGTTCCTCAACGTACTCATTTACGATTGCGGAATATCGTATACATTGCCTCTGCTGTTAACTCAGTCTGTATCCAGTGTAAAAATATTCGTGTGCAGTACGTTGCATTTTTTTTTTTTTATTACTTTGAAACGGGATGAAGAGAGTTGCGGAAAGCTCTGGCGGGCTTGTGATCTCAATGTTGTTGGACGTTTTTTAGGATTCGCTGCAACGCGTTTATTTCGTCGTGTTGCAGTTTACATCCTTTTTTGTATTTATGTACAGACTATTTCTTCGGTATCTACACTTCCTGTTGTGTGCTTAGTATCTAGTGGCGTTTTTAGCAGTCGTGCTTCGCGGCGGTTCATTCGTGTTACTTGATCGCCGGTGTGTGACCGTACGGTCCACGACTCTTCGTACACCTGGCAACAGTGATCTTGGCTTCTCGGCAATGCTTCGGTGGGGTGCTTTTGCTGTGCTCTTAGTAGGAACGGTTCGTTAAACTCCCTGTGCTGTTATATAAATTAGCGTATTTTTGACAATACCTAACCACGAAAGAAACGCCAATGGTACCGTTTAAAAAAGACCGATCGAAAAGGTAAGCAGAAAGTACTGTTGCCGCAATCCTTGTTTGCAGTAGAAATTAGCACTTGTCCCCAGAGAAACAGTCGTACGGGACTGTTTCTCTGTAAACAAGTGCTAATTTGATCAATCGCGCGATCTGTCTCAACGCCACCTTCTTCATTGCAAAGAGGCAGACGATTGTGCGTGTATCACAGCACATCCTGTTCGTGAGGAGGCTGCTTTAATGTTTCACCAACGTCGCAGTTCTTCAGTCATTCGTTGCAAGCGCAAAGCATCTGTAACGTAGATATTGAAATTGCGGTATGAATGAGTACTTTCGGTCATTCCAAAAATAATGTCACACAATTGTCTCAAACCTACGTTAAAAGCACGACCCCGAAGTAGTAGTTTGCACGAGCGGAAATTCGGTGGTGTATGAGTATCGTGTGCTGTGCGCGCGTCAGCTTGCTCGTGTAGCCCCATTTTTCTCTGGTGTGCACGATGTTAAACGAATGAACAAAAGGTGTGCAGTTATACCTTGTTTGCTGTTCGAGCTTTAGTGTGCCGTAATTATTGTGTGGCTAATTTCTAACCGCGTATCTCGCATCCTTGACATACTTGCCAGTAAGTAACCAAATATAAGAACTTGCTTGTTTTTTCTCGTGGAAGATTACTTTCCAATTTTTTTTGAAGTTATGGGTTCTTGGTTTGCACCATAAATATCCCCCATTGCATACTTTGTCACCAAAACCAGATAATTATGGACAAGACCATGTAATTTTAGTTATTTCTGTGCTTCCCAGTATTCTCGTATGTGTAAAGCTATACGTACTACGCGGCGAGCTCATGCCACTTGGGTCACCCTTTTTAAACGGCGCGTGTCGGTAATTACAAAACTTAACTCCTACACGCCGCTTCGCGGCGTCCAGCCGGCAACCCAAGCCCTGCTGTCCCCGATTGCACCTTCGGAAATGGAGTCCCATACCTATAATTCTGCAAAAATTCGTTGACAACATTTTTTTTTTCAGTGTTAGTTATAAAAAAGAAATGTTGTAAATATCGTCAAATTCTCGACAAAAAATATCTTCTAGAATAAAATATAAGAAGTATGCCCACATTGGGGATCGAACCGGGATCCGCTGCGTGTGAAGCAGACACCTTACCACTACGCTACGCCACCGCTTCGGAAACTCGTTGTAACCATTTGTTTTATACATCGTGCGTATAGCCATTTCCAGTCAAGGTGCACGATGTAGTGCGTATAGCTCTACTCTTCACGTATTGCACATTAAAGGAGTCATGAAACGCTTTTTCAACTTTTTTCTGTTTAGCTTTCCTCCTCAACTCGTAAATCGCGCATTGTACCAAACAGTTCAAGAAGTCGGAAAGGGGGGAGTCCCCTCTTGCTCGGAAACTCGCTTGTGTAGCCGGACACAGCCATTGTCCCCCCAGTAGATTAGCCCGTCGCTCAAAATTCCGACTAGTTGCTTTCCCCACCCCGTTCACCCCGAAGCTGACAGTGCTGTGGAAGCTACATGCTCGTTGGGCCAGCCACACATTTTCCACGTGATCACGCTCTCTCGCGCATACCGACCCACAGAGAATGAGGTCAGGTGATGAAAGGGAGGCGGCTGATTGGTCCGGCAAGCGCGTAGCTTCCACCGCAATGTCAGCTTGGGGGTAAAGAGTGAGGTCCGGTGTCGTGTGACGTGCGCTTGGGTCCTGGTGACGCGCTGCGGGGGCCCGGTTATGGTGGCTAGTAGCCCGGTGACGCGCTGCGGGGTCCGCGGATGTATCACAGTGAAAAGGCGGAGAGTTTACGAAGGGAAGGAGGTACGAAATAGTCCGCTATGCTTTGCAAATTTTCGTAGCGAAAGTCAGGCTTCTGACTTTCTACCTTTGTTCTTTTGGCCCACTGAACGATGTGCTATTAGTAAAATCCCAATATAAATTGATTTACTCCAGCCCAAAATTTGTTTCATGGGTCCTTTAATAGGTAATGTCTATTCTCCCGGTAGCCGGGAGAATAATCTCCCCGAAATTCTTCCAGCGGTTGCCTCCTATTGGCCCAAAAACAGCTCCGATAGCTTTTTTCTCTAATGAGTCACCCCAGAGTGTTGCCTCGAAGCGACTTGTACAGGTGGGCCCAGGTGGTTAGCATTTTTGCTAAAATGTTGAAGCGGCTTGTACGGGTGATCCCAGGTGGGTTAACATTTTTATAATGAGCTGCCACAGACCGCCAGTGCAAAGCGGCCTAAGCGCAGCGCGCCGCTGCGTGCCTCCGTTACGCCAGGCACGTAGCCAGAATTTTGTTTCGGGGGGGGGGGGGGGGGGGAGAGAGAGAGAGAGAGAGAGAGAGAGAGAGAGAGAGAGAGAGAGGAGAGGAGAGGAGAGGAGAGGAGGTCTCAGCAAAACGGACGATTTTGGGGGGGCCCGGGCCCCATGGGCCTCCCCCCTGGCTACGTGCCTGCATTACGCGTCCCCGTTAAAACGTCGCTGTTCGCTAAAACGTCATTCGCCACAAAGCGGCGAAGGACGTTTTTGTGTATGCATCCATGAAACATCCATGAAACCTGTTTAGCGTCTATGAAATGTGTTTCTACGAAATACCGGGAGAATAAGAAAGTCAGTATTCTACCGGCAGTTGTCACATGATTTCAGACAGCCATTTTTTAGGCGGATGCCACTAGAACTTCGTGAAATTATTCTCCCAGCTGCCGGGAGAATAGACAATGCCATATTAATTAGTATGAATGTCGAACTTTGATTATGGAATACTCAATTGCTTTTGTTGTGTTTGGATGGTTGAAAATCTAAGGTGATCCATGGCTCTGCTCTTTTAGGGGCGAAGCTCCTTAGGGTCTAGCCTTGTCCGGCGTCCGTGCTCACATCGATTGCCATCCCATCTATCTTTTTAAAAGAAGAAAAAATGTTTGCACAGTCGACAGGATTCGAACCTGTGCGGGGAGACCCCAATGGATTTCTAGTCCATCGTCTTAACCACTCGGCCACTACTGCGGGACGAGTAGGGGGCTCTGAGATGTGGTAGTAACTCAAGAGCTGGGGATGTCACAGATGAAACGTTGCATGTAGCCACTCACCGTCTATACAGGAGAGGGCGCTGCGGTCAAATGCGTATATAATCGCTTTAAACTTTGCATGAATTGGCTCAACGTTTATAGACGAGAGGGCGCTGCGGTCAAATGCTCAAATGCGTATATAGCCACGTTCCATATCACACATTCTCTTTCTGACATAGACCGTTGACTTAAGCGGTGGAGATGCGTTCCCACGTATTCTAGCGGATCCAAGCTGATCCGCTAGGAGAACCACTGGCTCTGCATTTCACCGACCATAAAGCAGTAATAATGAAGTCGAAATGCAACCTGGAACTCAGCACTACCTATGAGCAATAAAAAAAAAAAAAAAATCAGCACTACCTATGAACAAAATCAGTATCATCAGCACCACCAGAGTTGCCCCAATCAACATCATTCACCACGTGGAGATGCGGTCATTTTTTTTTTTGCAAGACCTGTTGAATTTTGTTCCTAGGTTGCTGTAGGGCACCGAGTCAGGGTTTTCTAGTCATAGCCTTAGTATTTGCAGATGTTTGCCTCTGCCTGTTAGAGCCCTTGGCAGGTAGAAATGTAATGCTTCAAGTGTTTTTGGCCCACTCGCTTATAAGCAGCATCAAAATGCTTCCACTGACCATCTTCTCTTTAGTGTAAAACTTACAGTGGGTGACTTTCCTATTCCTGCATTCACACTAACTCATTTTCAGACTTGTGTAGGCATCAATAGGATAAATACAGTTTGAATATTCTAACCTACCGATGCGGCACAATTGACTGTTTTTTGGCCATTAACACTGCTTACTGTCAAGCTTAGCACTTAAGAAACTTGTAAACCATGTCAGCAGCAGAAATTCTACATGCACCATTAGTTGTTGCCCTTATTTAGCCATATTTCACTCTTAAATTGTTTGCATTTGATTTGCACATTTGGTGCCACAGCTCCACCTGCTTCAGCCTGACATGGACTTCAGCAGAGAATGTCAGCATGAGTGCCTTGTTTTTCAATGCACCTTGGCTGCACAAGTGCTTGTGCAGTGAAAACTTCTGTTAAAGCTACCCACTCACGCTTGTAGCCTTTGTGCTGTTTCATGTTGGAGTGAGGCTGAGAATGGTAGTTTGGTGCTTGGTGCATTGCTGATAATATTGCTCCCTTGAGAAGTGCCATCGATGGAAAGAAAAAAAAAAAAAAGATTTGGTGCCTTCCTCGTAAATGTGCGCCATCAGTAAACTAACCCCATGAGCCTTGTCGTCATGACAGATATCTTGGATCATGCAGTGAGGAGCCTGCGACCGAGTCCACCCGAAAGGATGGCAAGGAGGGCGGCAGCAAGCATAAAAAGCGCAAGCATCACAAGCACAAGCACAAGCACCACCACAGCTCGACAAAGGACAAGAGCAGACGAAAGTCAAGCGCCGAGCAGGCTCCCCCAGCTGGCCCGACTTCGGCACAGGCCAGCTGCCAGCCAGGCATCCAAGTGAGCAGCATGAACCTAGAAGAATTGGAGGAGCAGAAGGCAATCTTGCAGGCAAAGCTGTACACTCTGGTGCCCAGCGATTACGGCAGCTCAGACGAAGACACCAAGAAAGTCAAGAAGTCCAAGGTCAGCTCCAAGAAATCGCAGGAAACTAGCAGCAAGAAGCGGCCTCACTCTCCTTCGGTGAACAGCACGAAGAAGACGGACAGAGAGAACAAAAGCAGGGAGCACTCGCGATCTGAGCACTCTCGGAGGGAGCGCGATCAGCCTCCCTCTCCTCGATCAAGCAGGTGAGCTTTCTCAGCATTTGTTTTGAAGTCAGTGTAGTCCATCTATATATCTCTTACAGTTTGCATTGAGGTAATCGTAGCATGTTTGCATGCAAAAAGCTAGTATGGCAGCTGTTTGCCATTCCTTTTAGCCTCTACTGAACATTATTTGCTGCTACAGTATGAGAGTACTTGCCTTGAGAGAATTTTGTAACAGCTGCAAGCAGTTGTTACGAAATTCATCTCTGCTCATTTTTCAACTTCTTTCGTGCCTGATTTCTCAGGAAGGAGAGGTCTGAACGGACCGCACGTGATGCCTCGCCAGTGCGTCCGGGCCAGAGGAAAGAGAGCCCGTCGCGCCATCGCAAGAGTCCATCCAAGAGGAGCCCCCCTCGACGAAGCCCTCCACCCAGGAAAGCCTCACCCCCACGAAAGATCTCACCTCCGCGGAAGATCTCACCCCCGCGGAAGAGCTCCCCTCCACGGAAGAGCTCCCCTCTGAGGAGGAGCTCGCTTCCCAGGAAAGTGTCGCCTGCGAGGAGAAGCCCTCCTGCACGGCACAGGGGAGATGCTGAGCGACGGCGGTCGGTGTCGCCTCGACGGCCCCCAGAACGGGAGCGTCACAAGAGTCCTTCACCAAGACGTCCCATGGCTCGTCGGGGCTCTCCCCCGAGGTGAGCGCTTGCGGCCTTCCTTGTTCCTGGAAATTTTACCAAGAGCCCGCTAAGTAGGAAGAATGAATTCTTGAAGTCACTAATGCTGCCATGCTCTTTGTCACTGCATGCTCTCTTATAATGCATCCTTACCACAGGGAATAGTGTCTTTGAAACCTTTTGCAGCTTTGTGCTTAAAGACCATCAGTTTAAGATGCCCATGCCTGAAATTAATTCAGATTGAACCTTCTATTTTCGGCATATAGTTTCTTCTCAGATTTGTGTGAATACTCTATGGGATGGGATTGTAGCAGATGCAGTCCTCTTGACTCTGTGTCTGCTACGAAATTAGTTTTGGAAATGTTCTCTCTCATCATTGTTGGTGTGAGCTTTTCTTAAGTTGTAGTGGATAGGGTGCTTTTCTTTTTGTTACTATCAGATGCTAGTTCGAAGGCTCTGAGAAAGAATTTTTCAACAATCGTCATTTTGCATTCCCCCTTTTTTTTTTTTTTTTTTTTTTTTTTCCATTGAAGGCTTGCTTGCAGTTTTAAAATAAGTACCCGTTTTGAAGTGAAGGTCCACCACTGCCACTGCACGAGGGCTGTGGGAAAACATTAATAGTCTTGCACAGTTTGAGTCTTTGCTCAGGTCTTGAGTAACAATTATGTACCTTCTTTACTGAGCATTTTAGATACCAAATATATCAGTTCATTTTATCTATACTTTCTCGGCCCTGCACTTTACCTTTGCATGTATTTCTGCTGGCAAAGAGCTTCTTATTTTACTTGGACGTGTCTTAGATTTAAACTTGCATGCACTTTTTTTTTATCCCTGTCTGCTGTGGAACCTACTTAGTGTGTGCAATAGGACTTTTTGTCACTTTCCCACTAGCAACATGGATCATACTTTGGATGCCTTGCAGAAGAAGGAAAAAGCAGCAGCTCAATATAGGATTTATAAACATGCAGGGGGGGCAGAAATAGACTAAAGCGGGAAGAGATTGCGGAACAAGTGAATTGTGAAGATTTTGTAGCATATGGATTGGCAGAGACGCATCTTAGAGATATGGAGGAACCACCCTGGCTTGACAGGTTATTTTTGGGTGGGATGCAATCAATGTGAAGGGGAACGGAAAGGAGGCAGATTGGGAGTGCTAGTGAAAGGATGGGGCTGGGAGAGGGGAAAGCTGCAGAGAACACATGTGGTTAAATATCAGAAGTTTAGACATGCTGATAGGATTTGTTTTATCTGAGAACAGGAACTGATTCAAGCGAGGAAAATGCACAGCACTTGACATGTGTTTCAAAAGATGTTGGTGAATTTGGCACTAATTGGGAAATAATTATCTTAGGAGACATGAGTGCACGTTTAGAAGCAAACGAAAATGAACAGCGCGCAAAAATATACAAAAACGAAAGGAAGATGCAAACGACACAAGCTCTCGACTCACACCTAAACATGTATTGAAAAAACACCAACGAAGTAAACCGCACTATCGCTTCAGCACGTGTCAAGATAAGCAGTTTCTTTTTTGTGAAGAAAAACTGATGTTTGGCTGGCGCATGCATCTTGCCCTCCTTTGTTATTGCATACGCTTCCAATAGTTCCCTGGTGGTTTTATCTGTGCCCCTCCCGGTGATGGTGATGTTGAATTTGGGCTGTCATTTACAGGCAGCACAATGCAGAGGCAAGTGACCCCCAGCAGTCGACCAGAGTGACCAATCATGCTCACGGGCTCGATCATTAATACATTGGCCAGTTTGGCCGATGTACACTCTTTCACAGCTTAGTGGGATTTTATATACCTCACCAGCCACACAATCAACATACTTGTTCCTGTGCTTTACAGCACACGGGCTCTTGCCCCCGAACTTTTCCGCAATTCTAGGGCAGAGTTGCGCCAACTTTCGAGGTGCTGAAATAACAACAGGGACAACAAAACGGCCAGCTACCTTTTTCAAATTGTGCGAGATTTTATGCATGTAAGGGAGTACCTGGACTCCGTTTCTGGGTCTCTCTTTTTACTGACTTAACCCTCCCTTAATCTTTTTTAACAACATCTGCACCACTGCCAGAATATCTGACGCTGGGAAGCTGGCCTCTGTCAGCCGCTGTACCTGCATCCTAAAACCTACTGACATTGAATGGTAGCAGGACTTTTCCAAGACGGTCTGTAGGCAAGAGGACGCAATGCTCCTTTTTACGAGTTTAGAGTGGGTGGAATCATAAGGGAGAGGTCCTTTCTTAGACATGGTTGGTAAAACCAACACTTGGACTTTCTTCAAAATTTAGTCTAAGGTCTAAAAATTGGAGGTGTGCCCCATCCTATAGTTCATTAGTAAACCTTAGCCCCCCAAAATGCTGAGTGAACACATCTAATGGCACAGACATTGTTAGAAAAGATTAAGGGAGGGTTAATTCAGAAAAACATTGAGGAAATGGGTATGCGGTGTGCCGCATGCTAAATGGAAGTTGAGACAATGGAACAAATGGTGTTGTTGCATAGGGCCTGCTCCTGCCCTCTCGGAGGGGATGACGAATTTAGCCGCAACGCTGGGGTTTGCAGACAAGAATGGAAGAATAGATGATGAGTGCTCTGTAATAACAAAGAGGAAATTGTAGGATTGGTGGAAATTATCTAGGGAGAATTTAATGAAGTACAACTAACTAGCTCAGCTGGGGACAAGTACACAGAGGAAAATTGGGACTCCCTCCCGCGGGACTCCGGCCCAAAGTTTCAACCCTGTCTTCCAGTATGCCCGATGGTGGGGTAACGTTAGCTAGGTTTTACTAGAGGAGCCTTGGCAACTCCCTCGCCGGGGGGAGGAGGCAGGGGAGATGTTTATGATTTTTTTCCCGATCCCTCAAAGGTTATCCTGGTGATATTCCGTGCCGCCTGGTGTCAGTTACAAAATTGCAGAGGGGAAGCAAATTAGCTTAGAAGGGCAAGGGGAGGAATTATACTTTTTGTTTCCAGTTTTAGTCAGTTTTAGTCTAGGTAGTGCAAGCTACCACCCGTTATAAAGGGTACAGCCGTTAGCATTCATTCATCCATCCATCCAATGCCTTCCCTCCTCAGGGCCCCTATCCGGGAGAGGAGTCCTCGTCGGGCAATGCGAGCAAGTCCCCCGCGGCGAGGCAACCGGAGCGGGCACTCGCGCAGCCCTCGCCGCAGGGACCCCAGGGCGCCGGCCTCGGGCCTTCGGAGTCGGTCGCCCCACGCCAGCCAACGGTGAGCATTGCACGTTTTTTTCTCCACCGCAAGTTTCGTCTTTCTCCTCTGGTTCACGGGCATTCTGCTGTCCCCCTGCCGTGGCAAAACAGCACTGCACATCTTTGGTAGCAGAGGTGCCAAGTTCCACTAACCAAGTTCTACATCGCAGGATGGACGAACGGGCCAGACGTAACAAAGACCGCTGGGACCGTAAAGACGACCGCGGGCGCCACGCTAACAGCTCTTCCAGGAAGAAGCCGAAATCCCCTTCATCAACGTCGGAAGAGTCAGTTGGCACGCCTTCCACTTCACCTTCTCCAAATGAGCGTGGGAAAATCAGACTTACAACATTATTAAAGGCACATGGGCAAGAGTGTTATGCAGCAGTTCGAGTGTAAGGAAAGGAGGAAATCCCCCCTGAACTGAACCATATTTTGTGAAGCCCCCATCACTTTTGTCCCTCACAAAGAAAACTCTCTACAAAAGCGGTTTTCCTCTCTTTCCTGCCCATAGCTTCCACAATGCTGCGTGCAACTAGTGAAATAGAGTATAGACTGGGGTCATCGTTAAATCAACTCTGTTGACTCTATGGCGATGAGACACCGCATAAATGAGGGAGAGTTCAGCGAGGTGTATCAATAGGATGCGGCGAATCGGGCACGGCGGTCACTTCGACGTTCTCTTGCTTTTGAGTGGGGAAGTTGACCTACTCGAAATTTTTTGGGAAGTGTTTTCTCTCCGATTCTTGCTTTCCTCGTAGTACCGATTTTGACGACTCACCGTGTTGCCTGCAGGCTCGAGGACATTGAAATTGAGGACGAGGAGGACGAAGAGAAAGTGATTGAGCGGCAAAGGCAACAGAGGCAAGAGCTGCTGAAGGTCCGTCACGACTGCCGCGTGCTGGCGCGGATCCTTTGCAGCGAAAAGGAGAAGCTAGTTTAAACAACTGTCTCACAAGCTGGACCAAGCACAGTCTTAAAAACGGCTATATAGTTAAAAAAAAGTAATTTAAACCTAGAACGGGGCCTGTAGCATGCGTTCCATGTCATGGCATGGCTGAACTATTGATATGTCTCTTGTTGCACTTATGACCCAGATTTTGCATCTGAAAGCACTTGCCAAGTTTTTTATGATGTGGTTGGAGATTTTTTTTTTCTTTTTGTTTACTGGCTTGGTGTATGAGCAAAGGGCGTCATCCTGTATATTTCCATCTGATACATGCGATTCTGCCATACTTTGTTCAGTACTGAGTTAGAATTTTTAGAACTTTGATGTGTACATTGCTTCATTTACTCTCTCTTTTGAAGATTTGTTTTTATATTCAAATTCTATATTACAGAGGCTTCAGTTTACCATTTATCTTTCTTCCTTTGGTCCTCCTGCTAAAGTCACTTTAGCGCAAATATATTCTGGGTTAACGTGTTCTTCCGTTTCTACTTTGTTTTAACGCTGATCTGTGTTTGCATTTCAGAGGCTGGGTGTAGAAAATCAAGTTGAAAGCAGTGGTTTATCTTCACCAGCACATTCCCCAGGCACTCCTGATTCAGCCTCCATTGACAACATGGTTAGTTTTCTTCTGGGGGGAGGGAGGGAGGGAGGGGGCGGCGGGGGCGGGGGATGAACTTGTCTATTTTAGGAAATAAGCAGCAAACCTTATGGCAAGCTCTTTGTCTCTTCTGAGGTGTGATTTTATGCTTTCAAAACAGGCTTCCGATATCAACATTGAAAACAGCCAAGATACGACCGACTTTGAGGCAGCCATAATGGCTAAGCGACAAATGATGGTCCAAGAAGGCAACAGCGAGGCCGACACAGGTAAGTGGTCCCCAGTTCTACTGGCAGTTCACAATAGCCTTGAATGTGGAGGAAGCGTCTGTGCATACACTAGTACCCTTTACACGGGACTGGAACTCTGTATTGGAAGTGCATTGCCTTTCCTGGTTGACCTGTGTCCGAGCTCAGCTATCTTATCGCGTTTGGCACATGTCCGTGCGCACTTCAAAACCAAGTAGAAATTGTGTAGTCCATGAATTGCAGGTTATTACTGGGCCTAACCAATAATCTAGGGCAGGGGTCTCTAAACCCCGGCCTGCGGGCCAAGTCCGGCTTGCAGATGTCTTCCGACCAACCCGTAACTGGCCGCGGTCCTTTTAATGAAGCCCGGCCCATGGCCCGCTTCCAGCTGGCCCACTGCTACCGGCGCAAAAAGTAAAGAACGGCGCCGCACAACGCACCAGCTGCGGAAACTAAGATGCCACAATGAATTAGAAGAAACTGACACGGGTCCTCTTGCCATATTATTTATTGGACATTGTCATCACCAGCGTAACTGTTCTTAGTCCCCTGATTCATATCCGTTTAGCTCTATGTAAGCTGCAATCAGTCATGGGTAAGTTACTTTTAAAAAGTAATTCGTTACAGTTACAGTTACTTTCACAAAAAAGTAACGAAGTTACCGTTACAGTTACCGCAACAAAAAAGTAACTCGTTACAGTTACAGTTACTTTCAAAAAGTAACGACGTTACTTTTCAGTTACTCTTCTATAACACAAAAATTAAGGAAAAACTAATGTTTGAAAGAAAAAATATAGACACGAATCAGTCGGGCTTTCACAATAGCGGTAAATTCAAACTTAATAATTTAGCTGAAAATTAGTCAATATTATGAAAAGAATAAAGACAAAAATTAAACTGGATGTGTTTTCTCAGATTTGAACACGAAGACTTATTGTCGGAGTACTCCTTGTTGCAAAGTTTGCATACTGTGGTCAAATAGTTAGCAACCAACTTCACCGCAGAAAAATACTCTGTACGCCGGCCATGCTTGTTCTTTGTTCTGTTCTCATCAACATCCCTATCCTTGTAGCACTAGCACATTGCTGGCTCGTTGACGGCTGCGCTGTGTTCGTGGACTCCTTTGATATATTTCAGTTCGTACCCGGCAAACCCGAAACAAGCTCTGCGCAAACAACTGTAAATTTTGCCTCCACCGTTGAAACCACGCCGGAGTAGTGGCGCAAATCAATATACAAAACATGCGCAGTGCGGAGTAGTGGCACTAATCAAAATACGAAACATACGAAGTTCCCTCCGCGTGTATTGTTGTTTCATGGTTGATTCACCCGATTAAAATGCGTGCGCAGAAAAGAAAAAAACCGCAACATAGGTAGTGCTTCAATATACTAAGATGTAAGTGTTCAGTCACAAAGTACAAGCAAGTGCGTAAAGATAACTACATTCTTCTTTTTTTTTTCTTCATCAAATCTACACGTGGCTATATTCGGGTAGTGACTCGCGAGAAAGAACGTATTCTCAAGTTTGTGCAAGGCCAACTGACACTCAAAATGACGGAACAGACACTTTGGAAAGTGCAAGGAATAGCTAGATTATACTCGTTTAATGATATATTATTCATAAAACACTGGAAAGTAACGACAAAAGTAACGTCGTTACTTTCATCGTTACCTCAGAAAAAAGTAATAGAACTACAGTTACAAGTTACATTCTTAAAAAGTAACTCGTTACAGTTACAAGTTACCGAAAAAGTAACGAAGTTACAGTAACGCGTTACTAGTAACGCGTTACTACCCAAGACTGGCTGCAATTCCTTTGTGTTCACGTGTATATGGAGGAAGTCGTCTGCTGCTTGCGCAAAAGTTGTGGTGACGTCAGAACGACGCCAAGTTCTGATTAACTCCGATTGAAGGACAGCGGATAGACCTTAAAGCAAGCTGCTTTGAGGTCTAGCCCATTTTTCTTCAACCAGGACTAATCGGAGCTCGACATTATGACGTCGCCACAACCCCTGCAAAAAAGCAGACAAACTTGCGCTCCGCATGGCACTTAATGGCCTGTGTCTTAGCTACCGTATTGCATATTGTTACCACAAGTTCTATCGTTCTCATTAGTGTTCTGCCCTTTGTAGACGTGCCAAAGTTCCTAGGTGCTTCGGTTTGTAAGTTTTCTGGGTCCCACTTATTGTGTAATGTCATGTTTAGCTTAATATTAAATTTTAATATGAAGTAGGTATATATATTTGTGATTCATCCCCCTTAGATACTTTTTTTATAGTTACTCGTTAGTTTCAATTTTGTATTTAAATGATTATCTAGGATATTTATTTAGTGCTTCCTTATTTGTATTTACTTGTTTATTTTCCGGCCCTGGAGACCGCGACAGATCCCGATCCGGCCCCTTAGCCAAAAAATTTGGAGACCCTTGATCTAGGGTTATTGGTACAAGGGGCACTTAGAATTAACAGTTCATATTGTTTGTTTCTTGCGGTTAGACCGCGAGCATTGCATATTTGGTGTGTACGTTTCCCACCCCAGGTCAAGACAAAAAGAAGCAGCCGGACATGTTTTCCGAAGATATGTTTGCTGAAAACTACTCTGTGAGTATGTCCACGCCGAACTATATAAGTTTGCGAGTTCAGCATGATGTGTGCGTATGTGGTGGCTTAAAGTGCGAAACACATGTACGACGAAACCTTCCGATCCGACGTGCAGACTGCCGGAATGACCTTGGGGGAAGAGGGTTTTCGTAGCATCGGAGAGCGTTGAAAACCCTCGCCTCCGATTGTCGCACTGCGTGGTCGGACGTCGGATCGGACGGTTTCGTCGTACATGTGTTTCGCACTTAAGTCAGAACTTCCAGGGCGCCTTCTTAATTAACCGGTTTTCGATCCCTCAAATTTGTCTGTCATGGAGTCCTTATACTGGTTTTTGTTTGCAGAGTCCAAATTCCGTGCAGAAAACCTCGTCACGCGCCCAGGAGAATCCCAACCTCACTGACAACTGGGATGATGCCGAAGGCTATTATCGTAAGTTGATTGTTTTACTGGCAATCAAATCATCAGTCCACCCATGAATGAACACCAGCTCATATCCTTTAGCATTGTTTGAAGATGTCTCAAAGTCTTTGCTCTCAATTTTTACAGGTGTGCGCATCGGTGAAGTTCTTGACACAAGATACACCGTCTACGGCTACACCGGACAGGGTGTGTTCAGTAACGTGATTCGGGCAAGGGACATGGCACGGGGAAACCAGGATGTGGCTGTAAAAATCATCCGAAACAATGAAGTCATGTGAGTGGTTCCTACTGATTGTCCTTAGTCTAGCCAGAGTTACTTATGCCTCTGTCATTTGTTGGCAGTGTGTATCTTCTACACCAACTGTGTACTATACTCCGTTTGACCTTGCGTTGGACCGCAGCGGGCACTATGAGCCAGTCTAGCGCTATGAGCGTATCATGTGACTTCTTGCCTCGCATCACTGTGCTACTCCGGAAGGTGACCGTCGTACGGCACTGGATTGGCTTTGATGGTTCTTAACGTCTGTTGCAGTTCATTGTAAGGTGAAATGGAGTAAACTGAGAGTCCTCACACTTCTTGGTTTTGAGAGAGCCTTGGCCACCCTGAAAAATAACCTAGCCTTTCATTCTTTATCTCTTTCAGGCACCGCACTGGACTAAAGGAGCTAGAGATGCTGAGACGACTGAATGATGCTGACCCTGATGACAGATTCCATTGCCTGCGGTTATTCAGGCACTTCTTTCATAAGCAGCATCTGTGCCTTGTGTTTGAGCCACTCAGGTGAGCAGGTACTCGGTTCATAACTTGCTAGGGTTTACACACCAAGGCTACGCTCCGCCTGTGCGTACAGTCAACAATAGTAGTGCGAGTCGAATGTTTTTTTTGTTTTGTTCTTTTTTCAGCATGAACCTTCGGGAGGTGCTGAAAAAGTATGGTAAAGATGTTGGGCTCCACATCAAAGCAGTCCGCTCCTACAGCCAGCAGCTGTTTTTTGCCCTGAAGTTACTAAAGAGGTGCAACATACTTCATGCTGATATCAAACCAGACAATATTTTGGTGAGTTTGTACGAGATCCATCTAAACCCTCATTTGTGCAGATGACAAAAAAAAAAGTCAATTCAGGCTTAGACTGAAGATGTCTAATGTCAAGCTTGTATATTTTCATACATTTGCAACCACTTTGCTGCAGAATTAGTTAATTACAAATAAAATTACAGTGTACAGAAAGTAATTAACTTGAAGTTACTTTTCTTTGAAAGCCACCCAACCTCAACGATGTTGATGTTATAGCAGTTTTCCCCATTGGAATGTGTTCGTCCATGCATTGTGTGACCGTTGATGATCCAGTATGTGGCATTTTACATTTACAGTCGGACTTGCTGTATTTTTATCTGTCGGTGAATCCATTAAATGAAGCTCCAGCTTGACAAAATCATGGCAAAAGTTGTCATTGCAATTTCGATTTTGCTATCACTGAGGCTGAAATGTAACTAAATTTTGATTCATTTTATGGGGAAAAAATGAATTGCAGTTACAAGTTACTCAAAAAGTAATTTAATTTCAGTAATTCAATTACTCTAACTGATTTATTAGCAGACTGTGATTTAGAAATTTTGTTCTGACTTTGCATCCAATAAGAATAATCCCTCTTTTCTCTAACTCGAATATATTTTTGTTCAATGCCTATCTGGTTTTAGCTTTCCTTTTTGAAAGAAAGTCAAAGGTGTATGGATCTAGTGTGTGATGTAGCAAGTGCTTTATCACGGAATTAATGCAGATGCCAAAAGTGTGGAAGAAATTTTTAGAATTTTTGCTCTTGCTAGACAAATGTTTTTTTTGTTCTTCTGAAGGTGAATGAGACCAAACTTGTTCTGAAGCTCTGCGACTTCGGTTCTGCTTCTCATGTGGCCGACAACGACATCACGCCATACCTTGTGAGCAGGTTTTATCGGGCCCCTGAAATCAGTAAGTATGGTTGCCTTGCATTATTTCACAAGTCTTGTGCTCTAAGAAGCCTTATGTTTATGAATGTGAACCAGTAAAAGTGCTACAATGCAATCCATTTATGACAGTGTTCATAAAGCAGGAACACTCCTGTGTGCTTTCCTTTTCATTATAAAGTTCTTGGCCTGGGTTACGACTTCAGCATTGACATGTGGAGCGTGGGCTGCACGCTTTATGAGCTCTACACGGGAAAGATCATGTTTGCCGGCAAGTCAAACAACCAGATGCTCAAATTCTGTATGGACTTGAAAGGGAAGTTTCCCAACCGACTCATCCGCAAGGGCATCTTCAGGGAGCAGCATTTTGACAACAACTGCAACTTTCTCTACCACGAGATTGACAAGGTTACCGAGAGAGTAAGCTTCAGTTTTCCTATTCTAGTATTCCTGTTCTGTAGTCAGAGGGGATGGCCCTACTGTTATCCTTTCATTCCTAGCATGCACTATTGTGTGATATTGGAATTCTCTCAGTGGTCCCTAGACTAATGAATGCAAAGCGCGGCCAGGAAATATTTTTCTGAAGTAAAATGGATTCCAAGGAAAATGGGCGCCTGCTTGTTGTAGAATCAAACTTTGCTGTTGGCCAAGTGCATTTAATGTGAGTGTTTGGTGGCAATTGCATCAGCTGAATGGTAAGTTCGGCACCATAGCACAACAGGTAGGTTAGAGTCGCACAACTTGAATATAGTGAGCTGCATAGCACTAATATTTAGTGTCATTAGAGCCCTGCATATCCGCGGATATCCGCAGTAAATTGACGGATGCGGATTAAAATTAGACTAATTTTGGTGGGTTGCGGTTCGGATGCGGATGTCAGGGGCTGCAGATGCGGATATCCGTGGATCTGGATTTAAATTTTTGCCTGGTAGCATTCAGTTCGTCGGCTGAATGCCACCGGCCAGTTCATAGAAAAACCTGAGACATTTCGTCACACACAACCCTGCTATTTTCATAACAAACTATTTGCATCTCGCCTGGATTACAGGGGGGAGGGGGGCATGGTTTGGTTAAGCGTGCCTTAGTGAATCGCATGCTAGCTTTTAGCGGCTTAGTGAAGGAATGCATTGTCAACAAAACGTCACAGGAGCATGTACCCACAAAACGTACAGCGTCGATGAACCGTGTGTCCATGAAATGTATGTCCATGAAAAGTTGTCCACGAAACATATTTCCACAAAACGTGTGTGAAGAGACGATAGGGATCCTGAGAAAGATCTCATTCTCACTGAAGATTGTTTCAGTTAGTGCGTTCCATCTTGTCAAAAATGCTTTCTAGAAAAAGTAAAGAATGCAGGGCATCAATCGTCCTGAAAAAGCTATTACACTGGCAGGGAAAGAGCGTAAGACTTTCTCCAGGCAGAGTGTCGTGGACTCCAAGGACAGTCACATAACTGAGATCATTTTTCCTTCGACGCGCAGTGTCTCGGGAAGGCTGATCGCTTTTAATATAAATACAATGAAACTGATAATGATAAAATGACATCCCCTTTGAATGGTGACCCAAAGATTTCTTTGTACAAAGATAAGCAAACAACTTAAAAAGTGCTACATGTATTTTTTTTTTTTTTTCATGCTTGATATGATATACAATGAATGCCTGGATTGTGAGTCGGATGTGGTTCCACATTTCGCGGATGCGGATCGGATATGGATACAACGATGTAAAAAGTTTCCAGATGTGAAGTCTGCGGATGCGGATAATCAAACTTATCCGTGCAGAGCTCTAAGTGTCATTTAGAAGAGAAATGGCCTTTGTATCTTGTGGAAGTTGTGTGAGCACTTAGAACGATCTGGCAAATCCAAGTTCACTTTATTGGAAATAGATGTCTCGGATATCAGCTGCCCACACCCCCTGCAGTACAACCAACACACTGTTGACAAACAAGTCCGCGTTTGTCCACACCACGTGTGGGTGCTGCGTGTGCACAGGAACCAGTACCGTGTCAACTCCTGTTATTGCTTTGTGGTTAAGCATGTGATGACGAGGAGCAATCACCAGATTCCTTTCACACTTCCAAAACTATTGTTCCTGGCAGAGGATAAGCTGAGACTTACACGCGCTTTGCAAACAAGTCCGCATTTGTTCACACCATGTGTGGGTACTGCACATGCACAGAAACCAAATCCGTGTCAAGTGATATGTGTGCACATGCGCTGTGTCGACAGCAGTGCCACCGCAGCTGCGTGACATCAGAGCCGCGTGTTGGTGTATAATTTAAGCTAATTCCATTTGTATGTGACTTTTCAGGAAAAAGTTGTTGTGATGACAAACATCAATCAGATGCGTGACCTGTCGAGCGAGTTGATTGGGCGGCAGCGCTTGCCTGAAGATCAATTGAAGAAGGTGGGACAACTCAAGGATCTTTTGGAGAAGGCACTGGCTCTTGACCCTGCCAAGAGAATTTCGATTAACCAGTCACTGGCGCACCCATTCATCCATGACAAGATTTGAGCGTGAGTAATCTGTATACTTTGCTGACCAATTTCTCGGACTCAGAGGGGACCCTGAAATTGCCCGAACAATCAAGCAGGTCGGAAAATCGATTTCAGCCAAAATATTATCAAATTTCCGCGCATATTTTGCTGCGTATTGGCCACTTTCCACTTGGCTGGATGTCAATTTTAAGTTCTCGTGCAACTTCCGCTTTATATTGTTCACTTTTCACTTGTTTGTTGACCTTTTTGATCATGGTACTGCGCTTTGTTGGCGCCTTCATTGGCACAAACAGCGAAGTTGAAGTTGGCACCATTTGGCGCTATTTGGATACAACGTTCAGTCCACCAAGTTTGCTTCAATACTAAGCCTATCGGCGAAAAACCTTCGTGCTCAAAGACCACAATAACGGTAGATGGCCGCTCTTTTCGCGGTCGCACTCGAAAAACACGGACCGCGAGAAGAACTGGAAGAACTAGTATATAAGAATGGGCAGACTGTGGCCATGTTCGCTATAGCTGAACCGGAAAACCCCACTATAGCCTCAACCTAGCTTGTTTATTGCGTAGGACGTGGTATCGAGGCTACAGGGAAAAATCAAAACACCCAAAAAGGCGGCAACTAAGCTTGCGGCGCTATCGCAGCGACTGTTTTGTGGCTGTAAGCTAAGGAAATCACGCAAATTATGCCCAAAATATCGAGCAATAAGCTTTATGGCGTCCCAAATTTCAGTCAATGTTATACATTAACTCTATGGGTTGAGTGACGGTTTGACAAAAACGTATGAATAATCAGACGGGTCCAAAAAATCGGTTGGCGAATGTAATAAAGGCATGCTTAAGGTTGGCACTAAGCTTGTAGCTCATTTTTGGTGCATATTACCCGCACGAAAAATTCAATAAGCTTTAAGTCAAACTAGGGGTACGGCTTATACATTAATTTCGCCACATTCACAACAATGAGCTTATTCTCTCCTAAGGATTTTCATCTCTCTTGTTCACCTTATTCTCCTTTTCTAAGGTTACCATCTTTGTATATTTTCTGCCGACAAGCTGCTTATCGTCGGAACCTCATTCGCCTTGTTCACTATGAGCAGCGCTTGGCGGCTATCACTTAGGGTGCAGCAAAGGCTTAAAATTGTCAGCATTGCTGAAGATTTCGGAAACAGCAACAGGTTGAAGATATTATGGGGATGAGTCGTGTATAAGGGATTGGAGGACGAAGAAGCAGGCAGCCGTATTCACCAGTCGTCACTAACTAGCGCTGTTTTGAAGTCATTATCGCGACTAAGTAGTCGCGAACTAAGAGAAAAATTCAGCGACTAAGGATCGACTAGTTCTGCGGTATTCACGAGCGCAAAGCCAGCGGGTGACTATCTAGTCAGAACTAAGCAGCGGAAGTGACATAAAAAGATAGGTCACGCGCAACGCGTACTTAAACGCCGCTGCATAAATCGGTATTTTATCGTATAAAAACTAATATTTAATTGTTTTTTTATCAGGAAGAAAAAAGTTACAATGAGAGACTAATTGCCCGAGACAGAGTTTTACAAAGAAAAATTAAAATGAACGCAAGGAAGAAATACGGAAGCCGCATTGCCAGCGACATAAACAAATATGAAAGCGCCCGTAAATGTGTTTTTTTTCGCCGTCCTGCGCCCTGCTGAGATCGCTTTAGCGGTATCTCTGGCCGTTGAACATGGATATTTACACTATATTTGCTCCTCCAATTCTTTCTACATGTGTCCCCCAGCATTCCGAGACAGAGTAAGTGCTTCGTTAACGTTGGTGGTCAGTGGTGAATTGAGTTGGCCATGGCGCTGAGCCGCTAGTCACCCATTAAACACCGGCTAAAATAGCCCTACCCCTTGACTAAGATTTGTTAGTCGACTTCTTAGTCGCGCAGGGCGAATAGGCGCTAAACACGACCAGTAAATACCAAGCGCTCACCTAGCGGCGACTATCGCTCGCCGCGTGATCTTTTTAGTCAACGTGTCGCTAGTCGGGAGTTAAACAGGCGCTACTCGCGCCTGGTGAATACAGGTGAGGGTCTTTAAACGCAGACAGTTCCCGACAAGATGGTGCTTTAAAGTATCAATAAGTCCTGCATCAGCGGTTGCATTGATGGGATAGGAAGTTGGTGCACTCTGGGAAAATGATGGCATTTCGGTCGATAGCAGTGTCCAAATATTCATATTAGAATATTGTTTTTAGCACTAAGCATTGCTTTGCACTGTTAGTATGCAAGGTCTTCTTTTTTTTGTGTGTGTGAGTTGTAAGTATGGAGTGCAGGTTATATGCAGGGGTAAGTAATATGCACGGAAATATGATATCTAGGCAGGTCTTGGCAATGATCCAAGTAGAGATAGACTGTCTGAACAAAAAGTAAGATTTCAAACATAATGACAAAAAATATTAAGACTGCAAGCCTTCATATATATTATATGAACGGCCATAAGCCTTCATGTTATGAAGGCTTATTTGTTTTTACAAAATTAACTATACTTGAAGAGCATGAAAATGTTGTTTGTCAATATGCAGTGCATCTTACAAAGGCAATGTAAAAATTGGGAATATTTTCTTTGTTAGTGCATGTGCATCCGTGTTGCCTTTTTCTTGCCTACAGGCTTGAGGTTTTTTGTCCTTATGCACTACCTGTGCCATTTTTATAAATGAGTATTTGTGCAACTTCTGAAAGCAGAAAATAAACATTCTTGGCAAAACAAAAAGCCTTCACCCAAATCATAATATATCTTCCTCTTTTTTGAGCAAGGTTCAATTGCAGTAGGATGTACCAATTGAAGTTTCTACCTTGGTAGTTTCACTGTTTAGAGATGGTTCATACAACTTCAGTAAAGTCTACTTTGTTTATATATTTTTGCAAAAATAAATACTTGAAGAGCATCAAAAAGCTGTATGCCACTATGCAGTCCATCCTACAGAAGCAATGCAAATGTTGGAACAATAGGTTTGGTAGTGCATGTGTTTATACGCCTTCTTAACTTTTGCGTTGCTGTGCAAGAATGAAGGTAGTTTCACACGGGCCTCTTTGAGCATCTTGGATTCGTCCACTCTAGTAAGTGGTTAAAGTTGCTAGCACTAGGTGAGGATTGATTTGTTTTTTTAGCATGGTGACTTTAGGTTCAATCAATCAATGAAGTATGTTCTATACAAAGTTGATTGGGACGTTTTGTGGATTCCACTCATTTATTTTAATTCAGTCATTCCTGGAGCCAGCATATAAAATTGTAAAATATACAAAAAGAAAGCTGCAAAAATTATTTGAATAACTAATGTGCTCCTCAAAGATCTTAGAACCTTGTAAATGGTGAAATATATATTCTGCACACAAATTAATTTAGTATTATACAATGTAAATATGCCTAATAGCAAATCAAATTTCTGATGTGATGCAGTGCCAAAAAAATGAGAACAGTAACAGCGCTAACTTTGGGGGACGGATTGACAACAGAACTGCATTAGATGTTTCTCATTTTGACAAATGATATGTTTGACTAACAGGGGTACAAAGTGTTTTGATCATCCTTTTATGGCACTAACCGAGTCTCCGTGCCCTGGAAGCAATTAATTTATGCAAAAATGCTTCAATCTATAAAGCAATTGTATTCTGTATGAATGCTTTAATCTATGAAGCAATTCATGCAAAAATGTAACAATAAGACAGCTGTGGTTAGTTCAGTCTTGGCAAATAAAAATAGAATATATAAATATCATGTTTACCGAGTTTTTTGGCTGAGATCTACAGGAATTGAACGTTTAAAGCATACGAGGATGACGCTTTCAGTTCCTGTAGCATAAACAGAAGTATTTGAAAAATTGCAAGAAGTATGCTTGTTTCGCTATTGTGGTGCAAATGTGCAAGAAAATGAACTTAGAAACCACTCCTAAGCAGATATTTCTTGCCCTCTGGAGCAGTAGCAGTAGGTGTTTCTGAAGCTACCATTACAGATCTTTTCCTTCTTGACTGACCTTTGCTCGCAGTTCTGCTTGCTGTAGCTACAATTTTTCTGTTGGTGCGACCATTGGCGAAATATTCAAAGTGTCTTCGGTCACTTCAAGGACCGTGTGTCCTTTGCAGCCAGGTCAAAGCTGATCTGCTCCAAGTGCATTCTATGCAGTGTTCCTGGATAGGACCTCAGCTTGTTGGACAGTGTAACATGGCTTTTTTGTCTCTCTGTTTTAGGGGTACAGAGTTGGGCTGAAGTTTTTCGTGCAGCAAAAGGACGAGACCACTTCAGCTTTTGGTGAAAGCACACTCGTGGAGATGCTCGCTGACATGCCATTATGTTGAGAGTTGAATAAGGCTATCTCCTGCCGTCTGACAGGTATTTTTGGGTAGTTAAACCGTGGGCTGGACATTTCGTTTCTACTATGTTTCACATCAGCATGCAAATTCATGCTTGTCATACAGAGTTCCAGTTTCTCAATAAAGTTGCATGTTACTCTGAGGAAGTTTTAGTGGTTTGTAAAGCAATGTCCAAAATATTTGATGATCTTGGCGGTGACTATCGCACATCAGAGTTTCATCAGCCTTTTCATTTTCTAATTGACATCCCTGTGCATAGCCCTCTTTACAGATGTAGGCTTGAGATGCATTTGCATTGACCATTGTCATTCTCAGTATCTGTTACATAACAGGAAACGTGAAAACAAAATAAAATTGGTAAAAATATAATCAATGAGTCCAACTCACTGGAGGCATCGGTGGCCTTTAGTGTTCTTCACCGGTGTTTGTGTTGAATTTTTCTTGTTAGTTTCTTCTTAGTGGCTGGTTCTTGTCATGAACGGAAAGTGACTGCTCGCAAGAAGCTATTTTGTTTCATTTATAAAAATTTGCAGCTTGCAAATAACATGGCCAGTTCTGAAACTTGCAAACGCTTCATGAATTTTTTTTTTTTTTTTATATATGAAAATAAGCACCATATTTGCACACACATACAAACAGGCATTGGTTACACAGATTTTGAAACAATGTGGATGCCTCACTTCTATTGTGAACTTGCTACGTTGAGGAATTACTGAATGCAGCGAGTTGACACTGGAAGCAGAACATCCAAGGCACATGTTCTTCCCCTGTCATTGAGCATACTGTTTTAATATTTGTGTTTTGAAGCAAGGGCGCTGGAAGGTACTTCAATCATTGTTTTTTATGTGGTCCTTAAGCATAACTTTGGTATGATAAGTTACTTTTGCTCTAACCTTTTCAGAAGCCCTTTAAGCTTCTTGTGTTCCCAATGCTCGTGTTGTATTTGAGCACAGATAATAAAATAGCTGCATCCTTAACCTCTCGCAAAATCTGGTGTAAGAATACTTGTGCAATTACTGCAGCAATATTTTTTTTTTCTTTGAAATCTAACATATAAAGCTATCTGTGTGGGCGAGTTCCTTGGACACCTGTCTGTAGTAATATCATGTTTTTTTTTTCAACCTGACACTTTGCTAAAAGTAGAGGATTTTCATGTTCTAAAACTACGATTTTATCTATTTGTTCTATGTTTCTCGAATGCATGGATATGCCATATACAGCAGCATCCCAGGTCAAAAGATATGCACCACCATGTGTGTGTTGTCTTTAATTCTGCTACTGCTTTCTATTCCTCGCATTAATGCACCCTTCCTGTTGTGGTCTACGCTTGTCCCTTGAAGCTAGGCAACAATAGCTGGTGAACCCATTGGGACTTTGCTCTTCAAGGGATCACATAAATTTATTTCTGAATGTATCTCGCTACGATTTACTGCAGAGGTTCTCCATAAGCGATGCATTTTCATGTGCCAAAATATATATAAAAAAAAAAAAAAGCTTCTTGAGTAAATAGTAAAAAAGAGGATTTTTTTTCTACTTAGGGCGCCAATATTGTTGCCACTGCTGTTGGCAACAGCCATTATCAGCAGCGGCAGAGATCTTGCCATAAGCAGACAATTTTTTTCAAGTCAAAAATGGTGCAGTTGTCCATACGTGATTTTGTCATTCTTGCTAATACAACATTGAATGAACAAAATGTTTTTTTAGGTTCTTTTGGTAGCCGCCTCGGACTCCGAGGCAAAGCGCCGGTATATGAATGCCCAGGCGGCGGGTTTGAATCCCGGCAGAGGTACCCGCAATCTGACGGAGGCTTATTGCAGAGAAGATAACCGAGATATCAAGTGTCTGTCAAAAGATGCCTTGGCGGTCGAAATTAATCCTCAGTCCTCCGCTAGGGCGTGCCATACGCCCTTTATTGGTTTGGCACATAAGGCCCCCATGTTTGGCTTTTTGACTTGAGCTATTTTGTCTACGCGGACGTCGCACGTATTGAGAGAATTTTCTTTCCTTAAAATCCCCGCCAAACGCCCACTCAAAATTTGTAGATAATCGCTTAGAACTATGGGATGGACGCTCCTTAGGTCAACAATATGTAATGATATCTCCTCTGTGTATTTTCCAAATGTTACAAAGTGGAGGGGTGGGCACTTATTGTGGAATGGGCAGGCGCTCGGTATTTTAAGGTATTTGGGTAACTTTATCGTTAGTAATTTTCATACGCGAAATTCACCACCTATAGGCACCTCTAGAAAATCGTAGCGTGATATGTAAGAAACTGATTTATGCGGTTAAAAAGGGTTGGCGCATTATTGGATTCACCCGGTACTTGGGCTGACCGAAATGCAAACCAGAAAGGGAACCAAGCAGATGTAGCTAACCTAACAGTGTCGATAAGGCATCTTTAACCGACACTGTAGCATGTTACAGTCGGGACCAAAACTAGCAGAATACGCCAAGGCTGAGAAGGCCTTGGAAATGGGCCGTTGTGCTCCTAACCCCTCTTATCTCCAGATTCTCAATCCAAGTGTGACTAATTGAAATACTGTTCAGACATGATAACCAATGTCTTACTCTGGTGTGCTGCCTCCTCAAACATGAACACCCACACTACTCTGGCATGCTCAACCGTGGTTGATCAGTATATGGTTGAAAGATAGCCTACAGGCACATGCCATATGACATGAGAACATCAAGAAATAGTAGCTGGTTTGCTGTTTGCTCATTGTGGTTTTCTTGAGGGTTCTCGAGAATGCTATTGCAGTGGGACACTGTAGAACCTTAATTGAGCAGCTGAGCACAGTGTTGCTACATCATATTCTTTCTTAAAAATATAAGATCTGTGGTCATTATACACAATAGTAAACATTCCTGTGCTAATTGCAGATGTGTGGAAACTCGAGGATATGTGGTTTAAGTTAGTTATAACTGCAGTTTATTCATTTAGAGTTTTGTCTTTTTTTTGTAATTAAATGTTTTTTGTTTGTTTTTTGAGATTCCCATGTTGCATATAGTCCTTTTGTGCAAAGTGTGATTTGGTTAGTGCCATTAATCTGTTTCTGATATTCATATATAGGTGAAGCCCCAGCTGGAGGGACAACATTAGCCTGGCATGATTGGTTACCGGTTGTACTAATTGTGGTAATTCTTTTCTTCTTTTGTTGAAAAATATGTTGTTTATGCTGGCAGAGCTTTGTAAATGAATTCTGATTGTTTTTTTAGTACTCATAGGGGGTTGCATGCATGCCTGTACTATATGTGCTTGTTTGTCGTTTTTATAAGCTGAGAGTTGAGAATTTTGTTTTTAATATGTCTAGCACAGTGATGTTCAGTGTGTGCATCCAGGCTAAAGTGTGGTGTATAGTGCTGCTCCATTTTATGCACACTGAGCGTTCTGGGTGGTACCAATGATTCAGAAAGCCATAGTGGTGAAAATGAATGGTTCTCAGTTGGTTTTGGTGACTGGTATTGTACTCAAAACTGCTTGCAAAACTGTTTGGGGGCATTGGTGTTTTCATAGTATGAACACTCATGCCGGCAATGAGGCATCACTGTACACCCTTAATGTGTTTTCAGTTTCTGCAGAACAGGGTCATTTATATTTTGTGTTTCAATTTGTTTTAAAATTTAAATTACTGCCAAGTGTTTATGTCTACTTTTGTTAGTATGTTGGAACCAATACAAGTGTCAGATCTGTGTTTATGTTAATGTATCATTTTGTTAGTTAAAACCGCTGTCTCGTCACAGCAGTGCTGGCACAAACCCCTTGTATAGCTATTTCATTTTTTAATCAGTTTTCATTTATGCCTACTTGCATCAGATGTTCTTCCTAATCTTGCTGTATGTCAATAGAAAGAAATTGTTCAAGGAGGTGGTTTGCCTTTCTCAGTTTCCTTTTCCCTGAATATACTACTTCTTTAAGCGAGGTGTTGCATAAGTTCTGCAGATGTTCTCTTCTTTGGTTATAAATGTTTTGCTGTATACAAAAAGTAACCGATGTAGACTTGCACCAGGTGCCCAAAAAAGATCTCGAGTTCCAAAACCAAATACATCCATGGTTGAAATTGCAACATAATACACTTTGCCATTTCTCTTTAAAGAAATTTAAGCTTCAAGGGAATGTGTCAATAGCTATACTCTGTATAGTTTAAGAAGTGGAGGCAAAAGGCAGGGGAACCTGCTGCTTTTCTCCTCAGTGGACAGAACTTTGAATATTCTTGTCCTCCACTTCACTTCTCCACTAATGGGTGTGGAAATATGAAAGAAGAGACTGGAGACATTTTATGCCTTTCCTAAAACTCTGCTTGCAGCAGGACACCGCTGTCCAGATGTAGACGCTATGTTGGCCTTTCCGGACATTCCCTGAAAAAGTTAATTTGAAGTGTAGTCTAGTTCCCAGGTCATCAAAGTTCTGACACTTGTATTGGCTTGAGTTGCTAGAGATTGAGATACCTGAATTCGTTCCTGTACTTTTTTCTTGCTCAGTTCACTCTAACTCCTGTGAACCCAAAGGCCCGAATCAAGCCGAGAGTTTGGGCGAATGTCTTTCCAACCTCCTGGGCCCTTTCAACACCCTCAGGTAGACACTATATGCTTAAGGTAACAAAGTACTGCATGAAACAGGTTTTGTATTCTGTTTTTGCATTATTGGTAACGACCATCCTGAAGAGCATACTTTGTACGACTGAGTGTTTTCCTGGCTGCTTTGAAGTGACATGTTCTTAGGTGGAGGACTGCATGTGTCTTGACAAAATTGTGGCAGCTTAGTTGTTTCTTTTTTAATTGAAACTAAGCTACATATTATTAAATAGTGTAAAGTTCTTCGTATTCATGAACCCCGAATTTTCTAGACTCCCAAAGTGTAAGGGCATACCAAAATTCACACTGGTGGTGCAAATCTAAGAGGTTTGCTAAAACTCTCAAGCTCTAGTCATCTTCACTATTGGATTATGCAAAGAAATAATGTTAACAGTTTGTAAATCCATTTGTATACTACTGTATAATTATTGGTTTTACAGAAGGTCAGTACCTAAGCCAAGCAGATGAGGTGTTTTTACTTTTACCTTTTAAAACAAAATACTGTCCAGAAGTGCTCATGCTGTAAATTTATTTTTATTAATTGTCTTGTTTTATGCATTATCAAGGGTGAGACAATGTATCGGCCCAGTGAAAAACTTGCTGGTATTTATACGGGTGGCAAAACAAGTAATCTTATTCTCTCCTGTGCTAATTTTTTCAGCAACGACTTGGAATGAAGAATGTTACTGCAGTTTTTTGTTTTTTTAATAGCTATTTCATAGTCCTTTTCTTTTGCTACCATGTGTAGTTCACAGCACTCCTCTTGACATAGTAACTCATAATATTACCTTTCTTCTGACTTTAGGACAGCATTATGAAGGATGCATAATTGGATGGTCTTTCCTGAAGTCCCTTTTTGCCTCGAGGGGTTTTCAATGACATTCGAGGTGGGCGGGAGCCGTGGTTCAGGTGCTTGAGTCCTTTCATCCTGTAACTTTATTGACAAGCAATAACATATGTTTTCTTGTTTGTTTTAGGAGAACCATCAATGCCGAGTTACTCCCAGTGCCTCCATCATCCTTTGTACTGTCACTGTACATTGTTGAGTTTGTTCATAACAAATTCAGACGAAGCAAACTCGGAGGTGCAACTGATGCAAGAGCAGATATTTGTTTTTGTTAATAGGTAAGATAAAAGAACCGTTGTTTTTTTTTTTTTCTTTTTTTTTTTTCTTCCTGTTTTACACCACCCACGAAAGAAGTGTGTAGTGTACCTAAGATTAGTTGTTTTAAGGGGATGGTTTGTTGTGTGGGTTCTCCCAAACCATGATATGAAATCACAGTAAATGCTGAAAAAAAATATATACTCTATCGGGTGATTTGAGCATGCCTCTGGGAATCCTGCATAATGGTAGGTACTAAGAATGCAGCCTTACCACTGAAGCCTTAGAAAAGCTGAAACTTCCGCTTCATTGCCATCATACATTGTTTTAGACTGACATTTTCCATGGTGTCAGCTGCTGAGCCATTGTTGTGTATGTTCATATCCATTGAAATGGGGTCACTTTCGTGGGGTAGTCATGCACATTTCTGAGACTGCTTGCCTACAGTGGCATAGTGAGATACGTCCCAAAATTCCTTACATATCCTCTCGACTTGTATGAAGGGCTCGTTTGTTAACCCAGAACTCAATGAGAGCAGCTTTGCAAATGTGTTGTGGTATCTATACTTCCAAAATGAAGAATATAAAAATTGAATAGAACTAAGAGGGTGTTCTGGTTCACGAAGAAGTATGCTTGAGATCTAAAGACCACCGAGTTGGAGATTTCAAATAATGCACCAGTAGTTAGCAAATGCCAGTGTTTCGTGAAGGTATGGCAACAGCCAGAGACAGCACTGGCTGAAAAGTTACACATGAACCTTCCTGATACTTTGAGCTCTTGGCGGTGTCGCTGCAACGGAAGGGGTACGCTATGCGCCATCTCGGCTTCAAGGGCTGCGAACATATCAGTGTTGGGTAAAGTACACCTAAAACATACTTCAAGTAAAATACAAAGTAAATGAGGCGTGATGTACCTTAAGTAAGTAAAGTATGGAGTACACTCGGTGCGCCATACTTGAAGTAAAGTACCATAAATACAATGTACTTTCAAGTAAAGTACAAGTATTTTAACAATCTTTCATGATGCCCTTTCATTCCCCTATACAGTGATTTTTAACTGGTACGCATTGCCCAGGGGTAATCAGGGGTGCATGACCTATTTTCAAAAACAGCGGCGAATATTTGATAAAGTCAAGTGGCCACAGTGTAGTTATTTTCTGGAATGGAGCCAAATTTAGAAGTCCCTCTTCTGAATTTGGTGCCCTTTGCACTGGATTATTGCACCCAAGGGGGTTAAATGTGCTAGGAGAGAGCGTGACGTCGGCCCCGTAACTTCCGCAAGCAATCCTCATAAAGGAGTTTTCTCTCCATAATGAAAAGAAAAACGGTGACTGTGCAAGCGAGCTGGGGATAATTAATCATATTGTGACACCTGAGATTGGGGTGCGAAAAAATTTCAAGTCGAACGGAAAGACAAAAGATAATGTCTCAAAACATTGTGACGTTCTCCTCCGTTGTCTTTTACTTCAACTTGAAAATTTAATTGTTCTGCATCACAGTCTCAGGTGCTACATCATGATTAACTGTCCTCTCCCAATATTTTAAACCTCTTCACTTGCTCTGACCGTCCGAGAAGTAGCGAGAGTTCAAAAAGCTACGGGAACGGCCGCTCCCAGAACAAACGGAGCAATGCGTCGTCTGGTCACGTTTCTGGTGAGAGTAGAATATCGCTCCCAGTATTTCTTCGGAGCTGACAGGGCATCGTTTCCTGATACAAATTTTACAAAACCAAATTTGGGGAATGTACTTTAAAGTTGGGAATTGTACTTTCCTCGGAAGGTACCAGAAAAAAATACATTAAGTAAAGTACAAGTACATATGCAGAGAATGTACTTCAAGTAAAGTACAAGTTTCCTAAACCTAGTTGAAGTAGTACTTTAAATACAATGTATTTTAAATACTTCCCAACACTGGAACATGTTGCGTCTAAAGCAAATCATGCATCGCTCCTCCCCTCCCTGAAGGTTGCGTGACACGCCCACTGCATTGGATTGGCCTTGATGGCCCGTAGTGTCATCTGCGGCTCATCGTAAGGCAAAACAAAGTATGGTAAACAATTCGGGTGAAGTCCCTCCCCCCTTCCCCATCTCTCGAACATATATGACTCCCCTGGCATTTGACCCTTGCTCATTAAAAACGATGTAACATCCTCAAAACATTAAAAATTTCTAGCTTCTTGAACCGCAATGAATGTTGCTCAAAAGAAATAACCATGTCAGAACAGTCAAACAAAGAGGCAGAGTTTTTGGAATCGGTTTCATCGTTACAAAGGCCAAGTGTTATACCTTGTTCTGTTATTTATATTTGTTTTTATTACTGCAGCTTGATACTACTTTACATACAAGTTTAAAATTGGTTAGAAACACTGCAGGGTCCCGTAAATGTTTTGAGTCACTTGCAGCATCGAGCAAGGGTATGAAGCTTGTAGTGTTGTGGAAGAAATATGGGTGCTTGTCCAAGAACTGAGTTATCCACTTCTTTTTCTTGTTTGTAAGACAAGAATTCAAAACGTGCAGCACTTGCCGCAGGTAGGTAAACCACAATATCATGCGTTTTTCTTTCTTTCTATATAATTTGGCTAATGCAGCAGTGACAGATTATAGCTGGTAATGAATGGAATGGGTTTAATTTCCTGCGCCCCATATTATCTCCCATCGTACAAAGGGTGGCTGAACTAACCGTCCTTTGTACGAAGAAAGCCTTGTGGAGGACAATATTGAATGTAGAAACACCCAGTACATAAAGCTTCCTGTCAACACTAAACCGAAAGCAGTGCGTACAACCATGACTTCCAGGAATTCCGGACAGAAGCTCACCAAATTTTTCACGGACCCGGACAAAAGGTCGCTCTATGAAAAATATGTAGGAATCGCACAAGGTCTGTTTCTTGATTAGAAAAAATTGTATGGCAAATTGTGTGTTGCATACGTGAAACATTCTAGCATTACGAACCTTTAGTGATACTCCGAGATTCCAGACTCCTTCGTTCACAGCGCTCTTCATAAGATAGTTTAACGCATACCATGTGTGGACTTGATAGTCCCCAAAATGAAGCAGTACTACCGCTAATCGGGCTGATAAACCTGGCGATCTTCCAGAGCCTTCCATACTCTCGAGCTCCTCCCTTTGTGCACACAGCTGGTCAAGCACCTCATTCCTCTACCACCCATCAACCAATCACTGTCAAACCTCGTGGCCATGGTTTTATCTAGGCTTCTCAAAATGCCGAACGCCTAGCCAAAGAGTATTTCATGTTAAAATATGACAGGGTCGCAGAGCAGATGCCCTGCAGGGCTTTTTCGCCATATAGCACCTCAACCCGTGGCTATTTGTTGTGACATCCTGGAAAGACACTCGCATAATAATCTAATTAATCTGGGTTTGGTTCCAAAACTGGAGCGAACGCTTTTTTTGACTGCCGGTGGCCTCTTCCCCACCGCTCAAAAGCAATCTGTATCAAGCCTGGCGGCCACGCTTTTATCCGAGCTTCACAAAATGCCAAACAACTAGCCAAAAAAAGATTTCACGTTAAAAAGAATGTTTATTGATCAAACCTTTCAAGGTGATGCAGCCTCCCACTGCCTCGAGCAGTTTTGCTACGTCTCTGCGAAATTGATCGTCCACTGAGAGCTTGCTCATGCAATTCTGAAGACCCTTTGTTGCCTTCCAAACCCTCCTCACCGGGGGTTCACTTTGGTTTGCTTGCAGCAGAACTGTCATGACAAATGCTTGATCATATGGTCCTTTCCCATGAGCTTGTGATACCCTTTGTTCCACCCTTTGCAGAAGTTGGGTGCCCATGACTGCCTTTATCGTAGAAAAAGCAAGTGCAACCAGCGGTGTCTCAAAGTGGCCTTATATAGCACCTACATAGACGAACAATAGGAAAGCCCCCCCCCCCCCCCCCCCCCAGCACAACCTCTAAAAGTTTGACCTTGGTTTCTAGTTAACCGGGTTCAAAGAATACACCTTTCAGTATATTCTTGACGTAAGAGGAATCACTTAAATGACCCCATTTAGCCCACAGTTCAGCCAAGACCATTTTACCCCAAGTAATCTTTTGTCCGGGTTATCGAGAAAGAAGAGGTGAACTTCTGTCTGGGTTCGCCGAAGAATGAGTGTGCTTTCGTCCGAGTCTGCCAAAGAATAGGTGAGCTTTTGTTGAGTGAGCTTCTGTCGGCTACCGACTTCCAGTGAATCCATCCTGTATGGACTAGGAAGCGGGTACCAATGCGGAGCGCAAGTTTGTCTGCTTCTTGCACAGAGGTTGCGATGATGTCAGAACGCCGTGCTCTTATTGGCCGATTGAAAAAAAATGGTGCGTAGTTCTCAGGGCATCTAGCACTGGGGTCTACCCTCTATCCTTTCAATCAGCCAATCGGAGCTCGGCATCATTCTGACGTCACCGCAACTCCTGTGCAAGCAGACGACTTGCTCTCCACATTGACTTTGTTTTTGCTGCCGCATCAAATGTACTTTCATTCTGAACTGTTCAATGGAGAAAGGTTTTGTTCGTCTGTTCCACATAAGTTCGTAACCCCTATTTCCAACAGATCATAAGTTCGCCCTACACTCGAGTGCCACTATACTCTGTTTTATCTTGCTTTGAAAAGTGTCGGCTTCAATACAGTAGCCCTAGCAGAGCTATGAGTGCCCACATATAGCCTACAGGCTGTCCGCGAAAATGAATTCAATTTTTTTTCACCTTAGAAATTAACTATGCATCGCCGAACGCTCGGTTTCCAATCAAATGTAGCGGTAGTGGTCCGGACCAGATTCCAAAATTTCAGAGCTTGCCATTGTCTTGTTCAAAAGCTTCGGGGAATTTTTTTGAAATTTTCAGTGAGAAAATGGCAGATGAAGCACGCGAAGGCATGGAGATTAATGGCGTCAGCTACCTAAAATGGGTACCATTTTCTCAGTGAAAATTTCTAAGTCTCGTACCTTTTTTGTGCGACAATGGCAAGCTCTGAAACTTTGGCTTATTGTCCAGACCGCTAGAACTATAATATTGTGTGGAGACAATGTTTGGGTATGCGTAATAATTTGTTGTTTTTTCTATGCTAACATGCTGTGATTTTTTTTCTTTTTTTTTTTTGGGGGGGGGGGGGGGGAGGGGGGCAGGGGGGCGGCGGGGTTCTGTGGCACTATTTTGCACTGAAGGAGTTTCACGGAACGCCGGCTGCAAAAACTGCCTTTCGCTGCAGACA